ACAGACAGGGTCGTCCCAATATGCGTTTTTGCAATTTGCATATAGGCAAAAACGCATAAAAACCTGAATCATTCCATGTCCGAATCGAAATGCGGCAGAATTGAATTCGTTGGTTATCGTGGGATCAGTGTTCGGATCATAGCCATGATATTCGCCAACTGTTGTCACAAATGCACTTCCCAGAATTTTCGGCAAATATTCCCTAGAAATTATAAGCTTCGAACAGTACTGGCCAAACTTTTTGGAGCTGGCAACGTACACGATGCGAAACCCATGATTCCAGCATTCCAAAAATCAACACTTTCTCAAAATTTCACGTGCTATCAAAAACGGAAGTGCTCAAAAGTAAACTGAGGGAAGCATGTAGCCGAAAGCAATCTCCCTCGTCTCGCCTTCGACGCAACAAAACTCGACCAAGGATTACAGCTGTAACACAATCGGCTCAGCTACGGCTACCTCCCACGACGTGGAAAAATATGCCAACAAGTACATTTCCAACATGAGTGCACATATCAGACTGTGAATTACCGAACGCCTCCGCTGCTAATATGACTTCACTATTACAGGAAATCGCGCCAGGACACATAGCCGCACCAGCAAATTTGACGTCGCGCTAAGACTCGTAATCATACCAACAAATTTGGTGCGTAAAAGCAACTTATTGAACATGCGTAGAAAGTATACCTAAATGTGATTGCTTGAATCTCAGCGCCAACAATTTTTCTTGCCTCCATGAACAGCCGATCGCCGTTCCAGTGCGAATTCATTTTCTGTAATCGAGTCACCAATCTGCAATAATTACAGAATTATAGAAAAAAAGAAAACCGTGGGACATTCACAAAAAGCTAGTGTTTAACCACAGGTTGTCCAGGAAATCATTGTGCTTTCAGCAACCCGGAACACCACTGCTTAGCTAAAATTGTGAGTATCAGGGCTTAGTAGTCTTGCATATTACAAATTTTCTGATTAAAAAACGTGCTAAGTACGAAAATGCTTCTTCAAACTGCTAACCGGAAAACTAGCATATCAATGCATTAAAAAGTGCTATTTTTGGGGCTAATAATTTATTTTTGCGATCTCACTTATTACGTAGTTCTTATTTTTTGGGATTTTCATCACGCACTTTTTCCAGGATCCGCACATGGCCAACAAGACCAAGATTGTGGTCTGTAACGGGATACAATATTAATGATAATACTA